GTGTGTGTGTGTGTGTGTGTGTTCCTATGGTACAAGGCTTCCACGACCGTGCTGCAGCATGTTGCAGCGAGAGGTGTGCTCATAAACAACACATGAATAGAGCCCGCAGCCAAGCATGCCCATGAAACGAATGGACATAAGCCAAGCTCTGAAAGGCCATGAAGCAAAAAGAACCAGAAGGCAAAAACCAAGCCAAACGACAGCAAGGCAAAAACAGTAAAACAGAACAAGGCATTGGACGGCAAGCAGAAGCAAAGAACAGAGGGTGGAGGGCACGAGGGAGGCGGGCGAGCCGACAAACAGCACTAAGCAGCGAAGGACAAGGCAACAAGCCAAGTAGCAGCGTTGGACGGTCAAGCTGCAGCAAGGAATGCAGGCTGGAGGGCACGGGGGAGGCGCGTGGGCAGACAAGAAGCAGCAAGGCAAGGAATCAACATGACAGACAAAAAGAGCAAGTAGCAAAAAACACAAAGCGAAAAAAAAAAAAACAAAAAAAAACGATGATAGATTGTTTTGTGACTTTGTCGGATTTGCACTGAGTTATCAGGAGGCTGAACACTAGACAATCTGCAGAATCCCCGTATTGATGGTTTGGGTCATTTACCCTTGTTGAAGGCAGACTTGCCCACAAGCAGAACATATCAGCAGGCAGCACCTTAGTGAAGCACCAGGCAGCGCTGCTGGAGCAGCTCAACTGCAGAACGCCAAAAGATAACTTCATGGACGACACGGCAAGCGGATGAGCAGCACGGCAACAGTGCAGCGAAGCACAAGCCAACACCAACAAAGCAGCCGCACTACATGACACACAAGCACGGGGCAAGGAAGGCAAGGCACGCAGATGGGCGGCAAGGCAACACCAGCAAAGCAGCCATGCCACAGTAGAACCCCACAGACTTTCGGTTACCACTACCCTTGGAGCCAGGAGGCCACTTCGATGAACATATGTCACCGCCTGTGGAACGTGCGCCCACAGACATTCTGAAAAGAGCAGCCCCGCTCATAGTGTTGCAGGCACTCCAAGCAACGAACCACCGACTATTTGGCGATTCTTAGAGGTGCTCACCTATACACACAGAAAGCACTTAGAATAAAAAGCAGGAAGGAAGATACACATACATAAACTGATTGTGTGTGTGTGTGTG